AAAATTATGCGAAGTTACGCTATATAAAAATGTAAATTTTTATCAGACGGACTGACTGAGTCCATCACGGTGTCTTAGGAGCTTCATTAGCAACGCATTTGCTGCATCTGACGAAAACACAATCTGTAACATTTCAATTTTTTAGCTAAGTTCTCTGATGAACTTAATTGCTTATTAACTAAGAATTTGTATAGAAAGTTTTGCGGAAGTGGACTATTTGACAGGTAACTTGTAGGCCACAAGTATTGCTACTTTGGCATCGATGATAGAATAAAACTAGAAGAAACAGAAAAAATGTCTTATCACACAACATAAGGTTTTTGTCTCAAGCAATTTCGTCACTTATTTGCAACTTAAAAAAGTAAGTTTTCAAGACGTATTAATTAGGATGTATTGAGTATCTAAGGTTATAAATTCAATTAAGTAAAATAATATAAAAATAATTTTTTGTTGTTGTTGTTCACTACTGTTCGAAAAAAACCTCTAGAATTTGTTTTTACAATATATATAATAAAATTATGCTATATACGCAGTCATAGTTAGTTAGTTAGTTGAGGTAGAGGGAGAACGAGTCCCCCTCAATTAGCCAATAAGCCGTTTTGAATCCACAAACACCTCGTAATAGTGGATAATGGTAGAAGGTCAAACTAGAACCAGCCAGAGACATTAACAAAGGCAAGCATCTGGCTAATGCTAATGCTGGAGATATCGTCAATTGAATTGAAGAAGGGTGCCCCTAGAAACTTATACCTAGATCCTGTCAAACCTGGACAAAGACACATCAAGTGTTCTGGTGTCATTTCCTCAAAAGCTGGTAGACACGCACTACAAAAGGTGTCACAAGGTAGGTCGAGTCTAGCTCCATGCTGTCGTATGGACCAGTGTTCTATAAAGACATATATTAACCTAAATACTTCAGATTTGTTTCTAATACGCAGTCATATTTAAATTAATTTTTTTTTGTTTTTAAATAAAATAAATTAAACTAAGTGGAATTCAATAATATTTTTCTACTTTTCCCTAGAGGCTTAATTACATCGTACTGTCTTTATTTAAGTGCAGTCTGTTTACAGTGACCATTTAAGTTCTAACACTACAAAAAGTGTTAGATCATTACTTACTCTATAATTGAAAACTAATCAGTTGATAATCGAAAAGTATCTCTCAAAGAAGAAGTAGAAAAATTTTGCTTCTGAAAATGTCCATATAATCTATACTGTAGTACTTTTTATGTTGAGGCTTTTCCGAGTTGGTGCATCTGGGCTGGGGAGTTTCTGCAAAGTCCAACTCATCTCACTGATTAATTTGTGTGTTTCTCATAAACTTTGTGATTATTCAATAAGTGATCTAAGTTCTGCGTACCATCCCGTGTGGTTAGTGATTACTCTGTAATACTATAACCAATGATATATTGCTCTACTATACTAGAAACGGTAGCGCTTATATTTATTATTAATTAAATTTGAAAGCAATTAGTAACAATTTTCTCAACAAATAGCATATTTCCGCCTTTACTAAAAATATAAGTGGTGCTAATAATTACTATCGATAAAAATTTTTAGCATTTAACAATATTTTCCCGACAAACAGCACTTTCCTTTCTTGATCTACATAAAAAGTAGCGCTAATGCATAAATTTTTATGTGTAGTTCTTTGTCTTCCCATGTATATTTTCATCATTATTGACTCTACCATTCAACGAAAACTCAACCTGCGACTTCTCTGCTTGTCAATCAATCTTCTTCGCTTCTTAACTCCGAACCCACTCCATTCGGTAGCCACTGCAATTATAAATATTATATCTAAGCTGCGAGCTACATTTTTTTATATGCTCCGGAAGGTGTAAAAACTTATTAAAAGTTAAATAAATTAAATGGCTGTTTTAGTGTTAACGTTACGAGGTGGCTTAAAGTTTTAATGCCAATTTATTAGCACATTGAAATACGTTTAAAATGTTATAAAATTTTATATTAATAGATGCTTTTGTGGCCACCATAAACTCAAAGCCATAAAATATTGCTCAACTCGGGGCTTGTAAAATATCATATTGTGCAGTCAATAATGCCAGTAAAAAAGAAAAAAATAAACAAAATCCAATCCATTCTAGTTAAAATCATTTTTATTTCCATAATTGTGGGTGCAGTGGGGCATTTTCGGATGAATTTAAAGCATGAACTCCGAACATTTTCTACTGAACATTTGATCTGAATTCTTTGATTTTTGAAACTCGTAAAATATGAAACAAAAGTATAGTGTTTTCCGGTTTCCTCCAATATTATTTACCCTTCAGTTCAGTCATGTATTTGACAGCAGATTTTATAGGATGTGATGTGGGTCACTTGTGACTGTGTGCCAATTTATTTGCTATTTATTTAAACACCATTTTTGCTATTGACATTTTTTCGAATTGAAATTTGCACCTTTTACGGTCGATGTCAAAAGTAAATAGATTATTTTCTAATGAACATATAAACATCTAAATCTTTGTTATTATAGTCATTCTAGTGCATTTTAAACATACTCGTACTGCCATTAAATTTAAACTGACACAAATACTCTAATGCACTTTGACAGCGTTTGTTTGCTTCTCGAGACGATGATCGAGTTATGAATTCAGGATTAAAAAGCTTCTTATATCTCGACCTCAACTAAAGTGGATATTTGCTGTAACCAAAAACATTAAAAATTTCTAAATATTTATTTACAAAAAATAGTTTTTTTTATGTAAAAATAAAAGTAGAATAATAAAATCATCTTCGCAATTGAAAACGCTAATTCATATTTTTAAACAGGACTGAGCACATCAACATCCTTTCACTGTCAGCGAGGCACAATATCCAACTGTTTCGCTTAGTGTTTCGTGACCGACAGTAGACTTGAGTGATACCTTTCATTTGTTATACATCTTCATACTCCACAACCGCCTATGCCAGCAGAACTTTGAACTGTTATAATTTTTACCCCTTCATGGTGAATTCTTTATATATTTTATTGTAACTGTCAGAGAGAGAGTCAAAATGCCTTTTCCAACTAACAGTTATAAAAAATTAAACAAAGAAATTCTTTTTGTACAGTTCTTGCTTTACCAATATTTTGCTTGCATATAACAGTTGTTAACAGTTATTTCGTTTAGAACTTTATCATAACGGTAAAGATAGCGTACAACTGTTAGAGATTATTTGACAGAAATGTTACGAATTTCTGTTAACGTAACAGTTCTGCTAACTGTCTTAGCAGTTCTGCTAATTATTATTTTCATTATTACATTATTAAATTGTTATTATGAATAATAAATTTTTCAGGTAGCAATACGACTACTTGCCATCGAATTTATCCTTGAAAGATAAAAGCAACCTACATTTAAGGACTCTGCAATCTGTAACGATTACCTCGAAAATGGTTGATGATTGCCTAAACTTTTTCAGTATTTTAGAGAACTTTAATATTACAGTCTTGGTTTGGATATCAAGACATAAATAACATAATTATAAAGTAATGGCTAATTATTTGCCTAAAACATACAAACATACCCTTAATTGGTTTTAGGATTTCTCTGGACTCACAAAATGACGTTGGCCAGTATATGGAAAAAAAGCAATTTGCAATATACTGGTTTAAAAATGTAGACTAATGATAAGTAAAACCATTATTTATTTTAGCAAACGGAATATTAAAAGAGCAACTATCTCTAAATGTTAACAGATAAAGTCAGGGATTCTATTTGCCTACTCTGCAGGACATTGCGACTTAAATTATCATTAAAATTGATATCTGTCCATGTTTTAAAAAGGATATCGAAAGTTTTAACCGCAATTTTTATGAATACCTTCCTCTTGACTGACAAATGCTACACGATTTAGGTGATATTGTCATGGATCTATATTTATTCTAAAACAAATATAGAAAGTTAAGAATCAAGCCTGCGTACAATAGATTTATTCTAATCGGAGTGCATTTAACCTTTTAATAATAATGGTAGTTAATAATAAATACTAAATTTTAATATAATTATTATTTTCGTTGTCTTATTTTTAAATTAAAACTCTTTTAAGCGAAAAATCACCATCATTCTCTTAAGAGGGTGTTGTGTCCAAAAGAGACTAAATTGTGTTTAATATTAATTACTGTTATTATTTTTTTTTTATTAAATTATTGCTAATAATAATAAGAAAAAAAATGTGTTGTAAGAAAACTATCGACATAAGAGGAGTTGCTCCATAATGACATTATTGTTTTATATATTATATTATTTAATGTATTTCATATTTCATATCATATATTATACATTATATATTATATATCATATATTATACCATACATATTATATATTAAACGAGTTCTATCCCTGGTACTTGCAGTCTAAAAAAATTATTTTCGAATAATTAAATACAAGAATTATTTCCACGACCGCTGATGATGGATATTTGGCAATATCGGCAACAGCTTTATGGTCAGCCAAAAATTCAATTAATTAATGTAATATAAAAATAATTTTGGTTGTTGTAGCTTACTACTGTTCCGCTGTTTGTCATCTGCACGGAACTTTTAAAGTTTTAATTATAAGCAAAATTTCAAGTAACATAAGGTACATCGATTCATAAGATTATGATTTATTACCGGAATACATCAAACCAGCTTCCTTTCTTTTGATTTTCCAGCTAAACATTTTGCTGGTTTAAGTAAAAACTTTTTTTAAAGATTTTATTTTAAATACAAATAACTCGTCAATTTTGTGCATATAAAAGCCATGCAAGATTCATTCAAAAATATGGTAATGAGGTTCCATAATTATAAGTGTGAACTTTTTACTATCAAACCTGATTTGTATATTTTTATATAGATTTTTTCTACTTATTGCTGAGCATTTGTGGAGCTAATTTCCATGGTGTATATGTAGTACAAAATATTTTCATTTGTACTGTAGTCTGTAGTCTAATAATTTGTAGTGTACCTTAAGCCATTGACTTATAAATATACATTATTTCTTCATGTTCTTGAAATATTTGACTACTACCCAATATCTGTCTTTAAAGAAGTTTCAAGTAACATTATGATGGAAAATATCAAGACTTTAGACAAAACTGGTGACCATAAATGCAATGATAAAAAAACGGAAGAAGAATTTGACGAAAATATTAAGAAAGTTCTTGAAACTCAAAATGGTGAGAAATTGTTTATGGTAGTTCACTTCAATATTTATTAGAATAATTAGAAATTGAATACACTTAGAAAGAAATTTACGTCGAGTGTAAATTTTTCTAGGTTCTTATAGAACATAAAGCGATAGCACACTTTCGATATAATAAATTGCCACTCTTTAAAAATCACTTCTATGTTAAGCGAATTCTATGTCATAGATAATATCTGAATTGCCCGCCCATTGAACAGGTGCTGATCTGAACTTAATCTCAATGCATAATAGGTATATTATAAAACATTTATCAGACATATAGTTAGGGGGATTGCTTGAGTGGGTTACGACCCGACCGAATTGAATTGAAGAATTATATATATTTATATATATATCATTTTATTATGATGTATATGACTGTTTCAGATTAAAAAGTTTTTTTTATTAGTTATAAAATTTTTGGAAAGCAAGTAGTAATATTTTCATAACTTTCTTAAATAAAAATCCTTGTACTATAATTTGGTCGTAATGTTGTACCAAAGAATCTATAGTACAGTTGTACAGTATTAAAACAGTTTCGTTTTAAATAGAGTATTTAATATAACTAAAATTTTCATTTTCTTTGTAGAGACACGATTTTCTATCAAGCGTTTTACTTTAGCAGAATTCAAAAGAAATTATCTATTGGAGAATAATGCAAGTTACTATGAAGCCAGACGCGAACAAGTCCAAAACTTCGTTCGAATACCTCTGGAGTTGGAACAGTTTATGATATTCGGTTTACTGCAGTGCTTGGATTCTATAATTAATGTGTTCACATATTTACCAATACGTGTGATTCGCGCATATTGTAAATTAATAGTAGGATTTTTCATTACTTATTGGTTTCGTGACCGGACACAACGCATACTCACGTATTCCGAATATTACGAATTGATCAAATACTCCTACTTCCTCATTTGCTGCTTGATAGTAATATGTGTAGACACTAACTATTTGTATCATATAATCAAGACGCAATCAATGTTTAAGTTGTATATTTTCTACAATATGTTAGAAATTGGTGAACGGGTGCTATCCATATACGCGCAATATCCCTTAGATGCGTTCTATTACACAGTAACACAAACTAACGATTCTAGAAGCAGGTCTTGGGTGTTATACAATTTGCTTCCGATTATATATATGATAATGCATTGCACATTTGTCACGGTTCAAGTGAGTAGTTAACTTATTGCTTTATTTGTGTTGTTATTTAATAAAATTTATCATCCATTCGTACTTTAGGCAACTACAATAAGTGTAGCTGTAAACTCCAGCCAGCAGGAGTTGCTTATGATTATGATGTCAAATAATTTCAATAAACTGAAACGTTCGCTATTCAAAAAATATAGTAAAGCCGGAATGCAGCATTTGACCTGTGCTGATATACGGGATCGCTTTCATCTAACCACACTTATTTTGATAACGTTCGGCATCACCATGAAAGAATTAAATTGGGATTTCGATAACTTTTGCCTTATAATGCGGGACTGTTCGATTGTTGTCATCGCTGGCTTATTTCTTGATTGGTTAAAGCATGCGTTTATCAATTGCTTTAATGGACTTTCAAACAAAATTTACAAAGACTTTATGTTTGACTTGGCTAAGGATATTTCTATAAGTAAAAATGAAAATGCGTACTCAGACCATTCGGACATAGTGGCTCGGTATTTGGGTTTCACACCCTTTCCGTTGGCTGTGATGCTTGTCAAAGCAATTTACATCACTATTTCTTTTAGAAGTCGTTCAAACATAATTTTCTTCCTGTTGCTTTTTATTTTAATGGCGTTAACACGTATTTTCATAATAATTTATACACTTGCTAAATCAAATGAGGTGTTAAAAAGTTATAAAATGCAACAAAAACAAATGTAAATATTGTTCTTAACAGATACTGGGCTTATTCTTTTAATGAAATTTATGCCAATACAAGCAGCAATTCTGTCTTTAAGTTTAGATATTATAGTCTTTTACTTAATGTAATGGAGCAAACGAATCTTTCTCTCACTTATTTTCCTAATTTGATTCCGGAACAACGCAATATTTGAAAACATATCGGTTTTCGAAGAACTGGTATTCACTTCATTAAAATGGATTAAAACAGTTATTAACACTAAATATGAATTTTGCAATATGTACCACACTATGCTTGGGATGCAATCTTAAGCATAAGTAATGTTTACTGATAAGTTAGAATAAAAAAAATGTCTACAGACTGACCGCAGTCACTACTAACTTTAGATCTACGTGCGAGCACTCGGTCATAACTAAATTCCTCAAGATATTTATTATCACAACTGGAATCAATCACAAACCACACATGAGGTTATGGAAAATGCAATGAGAATGCAACGCGGAATACAATGAGAGAGAAACACAATAATATTCTTAAAACGAACGCCTTAACAACATTAAAAAAAAGCGTGTGTAAGCAATAGATAAAAAACACAAAACGAGGATAAATTGAAGCGTGATGTAAAAGAAAAAAGGGGAAGATCAGTATCCCCTCCTTAGGTATGAGCCCATTTACCACACTTTATATTTATATTTATTAGTAGTGGTATACAAATGTTAGTATTAGTGTTGTTATTGCTCCAGTGATGCCATAGTGTTGCAGTCATAGTAATTTTGCTTTAGTAATAATATTATTATTACTCTTACCAATATGATTATTATTAGTGTTATAATGATTATTAGTGTTATAATTTCTTATTAATATTATTATCAGTATTACAAAAAAGATCAACAAGTTTTTCTTATAATTATCAATATTATTATTATCACAACTTATCAATGTCATTGTAAGAATAGCAATAGGATTTTCTTACAACTATTATAACAGTTATTATAACAATTATTATAACAATTATTATATGTATTCACACGACGTGACGATGTTGACACTGATTTCTGCATTCTGATGAGTCTGAGTAGTTCCCAGACGAAACGCGTAAGTGGAAACTAATAGGTGACCTCTCGGTTTTTTAACCATCATAATAGAGGGCCTTCTTCATTATACGGACAAATGCGACGTCTTATACAATAACAATTAGACTATAAATGCCTTTGTAATTTAATTTATATTTATTTCAATTTAACTTACATATACTATTTACTATTTAAATTAATTAAATTTAATTAATTTAATATGTTCAATATAATTAACGTTAATTTAATGTTACAGTGTAATATTGTATATATATAAAATAACACCCAGTCTCTTTGTCATTTCACTTTATTTTTATACTTTATTACTTTGGAACAGATTATCATATGGGGGCTTAATCCATCAGTAGCAAGTGGTAAGGCTGAGTATGTAATAAGTTTACCGGTGATCATAAGTCACTGTGGCCAGTTGATGCTACTTAGCAATATACTGAAGACTGGGTTATGCAACTATTGTTTGGTTGTATGTATTTCAAGTATATTTTTACGGTACACTGCACGACATTTACGATTTTCAAATATTGTTCTATTTGCATTATTAATAATTTTACAAACATTTTATATAATATTTTTTAAATTTTCCGCGTTTTTTAATTTTGAAATATTTATTTTACACAATACCGATATTTTTCTTTGTGCTTTGAAAAGTTTTAAAAGCTGTATAAATGAGCTCATTATAATGTGAACGCTTCCTCATTTATATAAATGAGCAAGTGCCTAAATGACACACTGCGAATATAGTATTACATATTTCGTACTATATTTCCTAGTAATTTATTTGTACAATAGATTTTCATGAATTTCCCTTTTAATATCCGAACACAACCATGTAAACATAAAAAGTGAAATTTTCTTTAAACTTCATTTCATTTTCAGAACTGCTATGACTGTTGCCACATACGGTACCAAATTTTTAGCACCAAAATTGATACTTTTTCTCCATATGGTACTATGGTATTTGTTTATAGAATAGGGTACTTTTTTGAAGGGTGAATTTTATTGTAAATATTATTAGAATGTCTAATTAAATTTATTTATATATGCAACTGTGGACAATGAAACTAACATAATATTAGGTCTGTTCCACGAGCTACTCATAGTAAAACATGAGTAAAACAGAAGTAAAATTTACACAAAAATACTTGAAAATTTGCTGGTGAAACGCGCTTGTGCATACACAGTGTTTACTCAAAGTTACTATGAGTAGCTCGTGGAACAGACCTATTATGTATTGGGGTTGCAAAAGGTAAAAAAATTTCGATTGGAACGAATTTTAAGAGCATATATAATATTGCCTTACGCAAATAATTATTTGATAAAAAAGATACACACTATGAATGGTCAAAAAAAAATAGTCCGATTATTTAAATAATAGAATTGTTATGAATAAAAAGACTTGTACTGTTCTATATCTTCTGTACAATATATGTGTGTTGTGTTTTCTTATTAAAAGACAATAGAACACAATTGGACCTTTTTTTGGAGATATGGTAACTATTTGTACTAATTTTGGTACAGAAAAAAATTATCAAGTGGCAACCGTGGCTGCTATCATTTACAAGCTATACGTTCAAGAGTGCGGAAGTAGTAGTAAGCGATTTGTTAAAATCCCTGAATATTGTGGAATAAAGAAATAATTTCAAATTTGTTTGTAATTGACATTATATTAAAAAAAATTAGATTTGATTTGATCATGGTAATTAGCAGTTGAAAGTTTTTGTGTTAATATAAATTAGAACAGTTATTGTGAATCGTGATCGAGCGTCCTTCGACATGTGCGTTCATGTGCGCAAATTCAAAGAGATTCAAAATTCTTATGAAAACCAACAAGTATTGAAGTTGGTGATAATTAAATGATTAAAATGGTGGTTTCGTGAATAGACAATATATGGGAATAAATACTTATTACAACTTTACGCGGAATCGGAAAATATTTTCTTTTTCACAATAATTGTTAGTTTATTGTTTGTGCTATACGTTAATAATTTTTAATTATATTTAAGGCTAGAGGAAAAGTTGGTAAAGATACAGGCAAGGCTAAGGCCGAGGTTGCAGCTAAGGCTGAGACTGAGGCTAAGGCTAAGCCTGTATCTCGTTCAGCTCGCGCCGACTTACAAGTAAGTTAAACATAACCAAACGCCAATACGCTATAAAGAAAATGGTTTTGTATTTTAGTTCCCTGTAGGACGTGTACACCGCTACCTTAAGCAACATCTAACATCTCGTGAACGCGTTGGTGGTACTGCTGCAGTGTATTCCGCAGCCATTTTGGAGTATCTAGTCGCCGAAGTAAGTCCCAATAAAAAAATTACATTTCATTACCCATTAGAAATTCCTGTAAGATTGTGATGATAAAGTGTTGCCCGCCAAAAATAATAATTTTCTCACCATCTTTAATTTTGTGTGTGTGCTGTGCATAAGCAAACTGCAAATTTTATGCTTCACACTAACCATTCCAGTGTAACGTTTTTATTTGTAGCGTCATTCGCCCGCCATTTTTTTAACCCAACAATTGGTCCGTTCCACGAACTACTTCTAGTATAACTCTAGTAAAATTCACACGCAAATTTGCTAGTGGAACGCACTTGAGTATACACAGTAGTACTCAAAGTTAGTACGAGCAGCTCGTGGAACAGACCTAATATGTTTTCTTGCTTAGAAAAAATATTTTTTCCTGTATTTTATATAGCAAGAATTTTTTTTTCGTTGATTTTCACTACGTTAAATGAAGATGCAGTTAATATTATCCATCCCATTTTCATCATGAATTTGAGCAAAATCTATTATGTTCAAATTTTTCCAATACACTAAATATCGATATATGTAGATAAGTAAAACTAGATATCGAAGTTTATAGTTGGAAATTATTAAATAAAAAGTGGTCAGCTACTTAATGTTAGAAGTGTTTGTGTTAGTAATAAAAAAAATTCCATGTACCAGTGGGCGTTAGATGATGTGTATTGATGTGTATTGTTTCTATAATCAATATATACATTTACAGATAGTAACTTAGATTATTTGAGAAAAAAACTGTAATCGAAATACCATAGTGAAAATATAATTTCAGAATAAGCGGCTACATAAATCTAAAGTAAAATAGGGGTAGCCTAAAAATGGAAATATTGCTGAGATTCACTGTTTTATTTCAATATGTTGGTTTTGTTACTAGGATTGATTTCTTATGATATACTACGATTTCATTAATTAAAACTTGTTAATTATTATGTTATTTTAGGTGCTTCAGTTGGCTGGCGAGGCTGCAAGTGAATTTAATGTAAAGCGTATTACACCTCGCCATTTGCAATTGGCAATCCGTGGAGATGAAGAACTTGATAGCCTCATTAAAGCAATAATACCTAGTGGTGGCGTTGTACCACATATTCACAAATCGTTGCTAGGAAAGAAGGTAAATTCAATCTAATAAATTGCTTAAGAATTTCAATATTGAATATTTATTATTTGTGATTAACAGGGGCAGCACGTTGTCGATTCCCAGTGTAACAACACTGGTTTCCTGTCCCAATCGTACTCATTTTAATGTCACTTTAATCTTAATTTCATTTATCATTTTAACAATAAAAATCAGCATCAACAACATTTCTAAATTAACATTAAAGTTTCTATATTCCAAACATTATGCTTAAGTAGTAATTTTCAAAACAGCTGACTATAATTTAATAATTTTTATGTTTGTTCTATAAATTTTTTTTAATACGTTTAACAAAAAAAATCTTAATATTTTTATGAACTTATAAATGAATTAATAAATTGTATATATATTATAATATATATATATACATACTATAAATAAATTAAAATGCTTTGGATTAAATTTGCGAAATAAATATGTTTTAATTTTTACTACGTATATTGAGTAATATTTATTTTAAATAATAATTATTTTGTGTATAAAGAAAAAAAATTAATTTAAAGAAAAATGTTTGAATATTTTTCTGTGTCTTCCATATTTGTATTTGCTCAAAAAATAAAAAATTAATTAATAAAAATTATTTTTCACTTTATAATTTAATCTATAAAATGATAATAATTAACAAAAAATAATATTTTTGTTTTTTAAGAATTTATTTATATAAATAACCAACCATTTTTTTTTTTTATATCTTTCATATAAGACAGAAGAGTAATGGAAATCGATATGGACGATTTCGTTCATTTATTTTGCATTATAGGTATTCTGAAATTCTAATGTATGAAGTTTATAGAATTTATTATAAATCCAACCACTTCTCAGCTTTTAAGCAAAGTGTCACTAATATTCTGTTCATTAGACATTGTGCTATATCGAAGTATATTTAATCATCGGTTGCTATGTTATATACACTACAGCCGTGTGCAGCTCACTACATTCTCTAGACTAGTCTATATATTTATTTTAAAAATTTAATATTAAACTAATCTGTAACTTCCAAACTTAAATTAATAGAGGGTTTTAAATGAATAATACTTAAAAAACGATATTTTTTTAGATATTACTATAATAAATAAACCCTTGAGCAAATGCAAGAATGTCGCTGCGACATCTAGTGTAAAATAATAAAATATTTTAACGTGTACCTAGCGGTAAACTTGAAAAATTTAGTAATATTGAAAATTACTAAATTTTTTTAATTTTGTATTTATAATTACACTTATCTATAACGAAGTCGTATAACTGGTAAAATGCTTTATTATAAAGAAATTATTGTTATGGGGCAGTTTAAAAAAATTTCTTTTACTTTTACAGCATTTCACATGTTATGTATTTATTCACATTGTTAATATTAAAAAAAATAATTGAAAACACTTAAACGTCAGTCAATTTTTTCGGTATTGACTATGTACTAGAGACCACATCACCATTATCCTCAAAAACATACTTTCCGATAGTATGCTGTTTTATAAATTTTTATAATCAAACATTATTTACTATAAAGTGTATGTAGCGCAATGTTTCCGTAAACTTCTCTGGTTTACTTTTCTACAAGCAACCCATAACTGTAAGAAACTCTCCGTCTTGTTATCCATTTTAATATAAAATCGTCAATAACTGTGTAATTTTAAGACCATATTGCTTACGTTATTTATGTGCTTGATAGTAATGTTAGTTTGGAGTCCCATTATGATACCAAGAATCAACGTTGCTCATACCCAGACCAACACAACGGGACATTATTTAAGCTCAAGTGTGCTTTAAGGAAGAGGTCGCCACTTCAAGAACCGCAGTGGACTGAATTGATGACAAGTCCATAAAATTCGCTGTCCCTAATTTTACAAGATGACATATAAAGTTTTATTTTTAATAATCGTTCAGTAGCTACTAGAAGTTATTCCAAACTCATAAAGTCGCTATAGAAAAGTTATTCATTATAAAATTTGGTTACGGAGAGGAATTTGCTACAGAAGAGTTTAAATATATAAGGAAAAAAATAAAAAACATTGCAAGGTCTTGAAAAAAGCTTTGCTACAAAGGAGTTATTGCTATAGGGGAAACATTTAAAATAATTTAAATTCAAATAAAGTAATATAATATAAAACGTATCAGCTGATTTCTTACGGTACAGCTCTTTCAAAAAACTTTATACCTGGCAATGCTTAAAGCTAAATATAAACGCATTTATTGAACAGCTGTTTGTGTTCTTTTACTTTTATTCGGCTATAATATTATTTACGTTAAGAGTTAATTAGCGGAATAAAGTATTGTAATCTAAGAATAAATAAAATTATAGAAATGCAACATGTTACTTATTAAGGAATATTAAGGCTTAATAAAATAAGTAATGTATGTGAACAGCGTTTTATTCTTAACAAACTTTTTATAAGATATCAACAACCAATACTGTTGATGTCTTTTGTTGAACGTTAAGGAATGATAAATGCAATATTTAGAATTAATTAATATTTAATTAATAATATGTGCAATTATGTTATTAAATGTTGTAAGTAGATAAAGCATATGTATGATAAAGATATATTTCTTACAAATTTTTCAACTACTTGATAAAGAAATATTGTGCTTTACATTAATTAGGCAAAGATATCAATCATGTTGGTTAAAATACGAAGCTACTCCTAAAGCATCTATCACAACAATACCGTATGTCAACATTGGAGAAATCATTGTTGGTATAAAGTTATAAAATTAGCAATGGAGTAGAACCTCGAAAGGCATAATCGAAGATTGTTGCACCCTTCATTTGGACTATAGACACCACATCATGGATAGATACACTTTATGAGCGGCTAGATGGATCTGAAAACTTCAACGTTCTTTTGATAACAACAGTTTGTTGTAATTTAATAAACACTGCAGCACCACTCTTATATGTTTGAGGTTAAACAAGAGACAAGATCTGTACTAATCTGAAAAGGTCTTTAAATCACAATATTCTGTTATAAGCAGCACGTCATCGACTTACAGTCATCGAACACTGCTGCATCCTATATATTTTGGTTCGGAACAAAAACATCAAGGCTTACTGAAATATAGTATAGAATGTATTAACTTTTAAATTATTTCGTATACATTTTATATTCTATTGTAAAACTACAAAATACTACAATTGGTCAGATTTCTTAATGATTAGCACTGGGGCGTAGACCCGTTCGCTTGTTGGACCATTAATGAATCTTCGACAAATGAAGCAAAATGTGAAAAATGTGATTTAAACTAAAGTTAACAAACAGACCCGAATCAATTTAAATATCACTGCTAAAGAAACCAAAATCTAATGCCTGTAATTCAGTACACGAATTTGCTTCTTTTAAGATAACATCGCTGTTACAGTATCTAATTTAATGAATCGACATTAAACTAATAGGGCCTTGACAATATTACACATAACCAAGTGAAGTGCGAGAAGTTGAAATAATCCCCTTACTTCCCCAACGAAGTATGTCAAAGGAAATTTGTTACTTAATGCTGAATGTGTTCATTATCATCTGTACTATTAATGCATCATAATTCACTGGTTCAAAGTGGTAATTTCATCTAAAGTACAACTAAATTTATATAAAAACATTTTTAAATGATATTCTTTGTATTTCAGATAATAACATACATTTTTGGAAAATTCACTTGAAGATTATCTTTCCTCCTGGCAACTTTAAAGGTAACTTTTAAGAAAATATGCAATAGTTATCTCTGAGTGTAAGAATTGACGGTCATATCGACACGTGATCTTTCAACACCCAATATGTTGGAACACATGATAGTCCCAAAAAATTAACACGAAGATATATGGTATGTGAATTTTTTTTTTACACAAAATATCAAACAAATCATTGTAGTTCTTGATATATCGGAAACTTAGATAAACTTGCTAAAGTAAGCGTAAATAATACCTAATTACTTTTTATTATTAATTATTATTATTTTTAGCTAATATTATTTATATTTTTTTATTATTATTTCTTAACATTATTTTTTAATATTAATTATTATTATTCTTTATTTATTATTATTCATTATTACTATATTTATATATTTTTATTTATTATTACAATTAATTATTATTATTTATTATTGTTATTATTGTTTCCTTATATTAATAATTAATGATTATTACTTATTATTATTATTTTTATTCATTGACATTATTATAATTAAAATTATATATTATTACAACTAATTATTATTATTATGATTTTTTATATTTATTTCTATCATACATTATTTATTATAATATATAACAATTTTTATATTAAACCTAAAGGATGCGAATTATTTGTTATATACATTGAAAGTTAATTTAATCTCATAAATGCTATGTAAATCTGAATGCGAAAAAAGTTTGTTGTACTTGGTTTAAGATACAATTATTATTATTTTTCTTTGATTTTTATATTTCTGGTGATATATATCTAACGGAACCTTAAAATTAACTTAATTATACGATATATAACGCAAGTTTCCTTACTCAATAAGAAACTCCATATTATAGTTAGTTTCGAATACTATTAATATCCATAAATTATTTTTTGTATTATAAAAATATAATTCCAAATTTAGATACAGTAGGTTCTCCATACCATATGAGAATGAGTTTAAATATTAAAAATAGTACAATTAACAAAAGTACCTGAATAATTAAGCCCGACCTGCTGTATTTTTGTAAAACCTTACCTAATACTAACAAATACTACAATATTGGAATGTGTTGTTTTTATTACTCATTGGAAGATCATTGGGAGCTTTAAAAAGCCTATGAAAATGCGTCTATAACTGTATGCTGTATTTTTCGAATGATTATATAATTCTCTATTATACAACCCTGCTTTTTTTTCTTTTCCGAATGATTAATCATGACTGTTATTAAGACTCAATTGATGACTCCAAAGTATGTTTTGATTAGTGTGATGCAATTCTACCTTCGATAGTGTCTTCTCAATCTCCTCAAAGAGTTTAGACATAATGGAAAAGTTGTGCGATTTTGCATGTTAGTATATATTTGCTTAAGTTTTATCTTATATCAGATGCTTAGAGATTTCTTTCCTCAACTGAATAACAGGCGTTTACAATAAGTGCATTAAAAGGGAAAAGTAATAAATTATCAGAACGATTAATAAATTTATTAAACAT